AACAGCTACAATGTTTTTCTTTAAATTTCATGTAATAATGGAGTAACATACACTTATAAAGGTGGAATAGGTTTTATTTTCACAGTTAATTTTCAACAATTGCAAAAGTTAACATTTTTCCGCGTCTTTCTTCAACTAAAAAAAATTGAAGGTAGAGGTTTTTCGTTCATATAAATTTGTTGTCCTTAGTAGGTTCTTTCATTAAGGTCATGTACAGTTTTTTGAAAATTTTAGTAGTTTTGGAGCAATATTGCGAGCAATATTTGCAATATTGAAAAATTACAAAAACAATATTTTCTCAAAGACGGCTGCAAATTTGTTCTTTAAACGTTTAGTAGGGATAGTGCTAAATGCACTGTACAAGGTGATATTAATGATTGCTCTAGGCTTTTGTTTCTCCCAAAATTACAAAAATTTCATTTTTTAACTTGCCCCTCACGTCGTTAATATTTACATTAGACACAATTTGTTAACATTATATTTATCAAAAACTGAACCGTTTTGTGTGAAAACTAACACAAAATTACGCATTATTAGTAACGCTGAAACGTCGTTTTCTCCAAAACAGCCCCAGCTTTTTTTTCAATCTTTTCAAACGGATAACACTAATTTCACTCTTCAATATGACAAACAGGGTACTTTTTTTTTATTTACACAAATGTAATTTTTTAAAGATCTCTCAAGCCGTTAATATGCACATTTGCAGCCATTAGTAAACACTATTGTATTTGTAAGTTAAAGTACTTCAATAGACTTCTAATGAAGTGTTTCGAAAACTCAACAATGTTCTGTGAAAAAGAGCTTCAAATTTCGTATTTACAGTAGCTCTTAAGCGCCATTTTCTTAAAAAGGGCTCCAAGTTTTTCAAAGAAAATTGCCATTTAGGATGACGTTTTACTGTTTTTTTAATACTCATAAAATAATGATTCCGTTCTATTATTAATAAACCGAAAAATTGAGAAAATTTCAAAAAATTCACCTTGGGTGGCGATAGATAGCAGGAGTATGTGACAAGATCGTACAGCTAGCCGAAACCAAAGGATATAGAAAACTAATACGGGAAAGTCTATGCCATTCTGTAGCAACACTACTTTTAATCTTTAACGCTGTTAAAATGCAAATTTCCAGCTATTTGTTTATATGAGAGCATTTGTGAGTGGAAGTGCTGAAAATGACTTCCAATGAAGATTCTCGAAAACGTAAGTTATCTGTGGAAAAGAGCTTTAAATTTCACTATTACAAAAATGCTTAACTATTAATAAATGCATTTTCTTCAAAACAGCACACACATTTTTCTGCTAAAATTTCCATAAAAGACGATGTTTTACTCTTGTATAACATTTTAAAAGTAATATGTCGGTTGAATCATTAGAAAAGAGAAAAATTGAGAAAAAATTGGGATGGTAATAGTTGGCAACCAACGGAAGAAGATGGGCGAGACAGAAAAGCTAGCCCAGATCCAAAGAAATTTAATGTCTGTGTCATGCTGTAACATCACTTGTTTTACTTTCCCGCGCACGTCATAAAGAGATAAAGTCATGTAATCACACACCGGAAAAGGGCGAATTTTTGGAAGAAAAACTCTTATTCCAAGGCCCTGGTAATGAAAATGTAGATAAATCATGTTGCTGTTAAAGTAAATTACTTACTCTAACTTTCTTTATTTTGAACCAGAATTGCATGACATCATTTAATGAAAATTTGTCCCTCTCCCTTTCTCCCTCGTCCTTTTCTAATTTTCAGATTAATTATCTTTTCCGGTTTTGGGAATGAGAATCATCACCTGGAGGTTGGTTGCTAACTATATCACTGCCCTGATGGTTATTGTTTTTAAGGAGTAAAGAATGCCCCTAGTTACTGAATTTTATTTTCTGAGAAAACAATGAACGCAATAAAGACAATCTTATATGAGCTAACTAAACAGTATCTAAAGGTTTATGGTAAGTTTGTATTACAACCTTGTAAAAATATTAAACAAAGTTCAATTATGTATCTAATTGAATGTAGTATTTCACGCCAGTTAGTTAAACGTGCAATTTAACATTAAAAAGTATTTAACAATTATTTTTGGTAACGCCATGGCGATTGTGAATTTTTGTACTAGGAATTCAATATTACAGTAATTCTGTTTCAACCTGCCTGTTCCAAGGTTTATGTAGTATGTTTACTGCACACAAATGTTTTTAATGTTCATTTGAAAATTTGTATGATAACTTTAAATTAAAATAAAAATATTTGGTATTTTAAAATCAAGCTTAAATAGAAAATTATTGGATTTTATGTAAGAAGTTTAATTTTGTTATGAAATTTAGTTTATTTAGATAATGGTTACGTAAGTTCCCACCTATGTAACTGGAAATAAATTTTAATTTGTTTTCTATTGTGTTTGTGCTCGCCTTGGAATGTCTAGGCGACTTTACTGGAGAAATAAGGGTCGTAAAGCTCCCTCCTCGTCATACTAATGAATAGTCATGTCTACATATTGTAGTATGGGTCTTTGAATGTAGTTGATGTTTTCTTAGTCGAGGGGTTTTTTTTCTTATTTGGCCCTTGCTCCTGGCGACCGCAAGACCTATCTTTTTGATTCCAGTTTCCCTACTTGGCCTTTTTATCGCCAGACCGAACAGAATTTGTCTGCTGTTAGAGCCCTCTACGAGGAAATGGACTTGTCTTAGCTTCAATAGACTCCCGATGTACGTGGTAGTTGTGGTAGTATCATGCATGTAAGTGAAAATGAAATATAAGAGGTGAATATAGGTAAAGGAGAAGGAAGAAAATATCACAGGAGATCCTTTTCTTTTTAAATCATGTTTTGTACCATATAAACTTAATGTGAATGGCATTTAACAAATTTTATGTCAAATATCACAAATATCTCCACAGGATAAAGTTGTTATTTTCCACAAAAGTTGATGTTTGAACAAGTAAGTATAGAAAACAAAAAAATGTTATTTTTCAGACGTCCCTTGTTAAATATTTTCCTTTAATATTTCTATAATCTACACCTCTTTTGTGCACCACCTGAAAAATGTCAGGTGCATATGCGGAATAGCTGAGAAACTTGTACAATAGCAAACAAAAGCAGCCTTTCTCAAGGAATAAAGACGGCTTTGACCATTTGCATACATAGGGACGGATTGAATTGCGCCCTGTTGCGCTCAGACCAGACTTAACCAAAGACATTGCACAGTCCTGTTACATACATGACATGTTTAGGACCAGATAATTCCAAGTTACATCTTTCAAGTTGGTTGGGTTGTATTTTTAACGTCTTATAGTTAAACATTCATAACAATCTGTTTTGCAAGTGCAATCCAGTTAAGATGCATATCTTGTATACTGTGCAGGTTGACTTTAAGAAATGGTTAGGATTCAACCATAGGAAAAATTCCTTTTTCTCGAATTTCCAAAAGATATTGTTCTCTAGTGGTGTAGCCAAGAGAGGTTAAAACGTTTAGCAATATAATTTGGACAATGCTACATAAACAGTCGTTGAACTAAAAACAGTGAGTCGTGTCTGAAACTGTTTCGAGCACGGGAGATGCTCAATGCAAGATAACGGTCAAGAAAAATCCGGCTCCAATTTCTTTAAAGCTCGTAAAAGTGGGTCCAAGGCAACTATCTCCTCTCTATCACCTTCTCCAGCTTATATTTGAATCTCTAGCTTAGGTATCTCCTTGGCACGCCTCGCAAAGGTTGGTTCATAGTTTCAGGAGGCGTAAGCGAATTTCAGCTATTGTACATCGAACATATGCCGTGGAAAAAGATGTAGATAGGTTTTGAAAGGATTATTACAAAATGGTTCTGACTACATGGTGATCCGTTTATCTGCCATCGCAATCTTTGATCTTGGGAACAAAGAACTGCCCTCTCGCGTCATTGCATAAAACAGGTACGGCTGGCTGAAGCAGCGCGTGTGGAGTTGGGGGACGCATGGGGCGGGGAGACGTAGGGATCGCGAACTGTGAAGGGTGGGGAGATGTGGGGGTTAGTGTAAGGAAATGTAGGGATGGAGAACAGTGTACAGGTGTGGAGGTGTAATGTGGGGTTGAAAATTGTGAAAGAACAGAGATCTAGGGATGGAGAATCCTGCACGGGCGGGGAAGTTAGGAGCGTTGGAATGGCGTAAATACATAGGTTCATGCACATATCTTTTCTCAGAAACAACTAATGAAATCATTAGCCAAATTTGAAAACACAGAGCGTAAATACAAAAAAAATTCTAAGTTTCAAATTTGAAATATTGCTTTCATAAGCTAATGCGGCAGTAGTGTGACACCCTCCTACACACCCTGCAGATGCTCCAACGACACACATATATTTAAACAACGAGCGTGGGCAAATCGATGGGCAGGTTCAGGAGCTGAAAAGCGTAGGGGCGGTTAGGCGAGGAGTGGCGGAGGAGTGGAATAGGTGAGTAGGCACCTAGGTAAAGAGGCATGGGAGCGGGTGCGAAGTCGTGGGATGGCGTAGGGTCAAGATGACGTAGGGTCAAGATGACGTAGGGTCAAGATGACGTAGGGTCAAGATGACGTAGGGTCAAGATGGCGTAGGTGTGTGATGACGCAGGGGAAGGATGGAGCAGGGGCAGGTTGGAGCAGGGCGGGATGGCGTAGGGGTGGGATGGCGCAGAGGTGGGAAGGCATACTGGTGAGATCGCGTACGGGCGTGAGGGCGTAGAGACGGAACGGCGTAGAGACAGAATCGCGTAGAGGCGGAATTGCGTAGAGACGGAATCGCGTAGAGACGGAATGGCGTAGGCACGGAATGGCGTAGAGACGAAATGGCTTAGACACGGAATGGCGTAGACACGGAATGGCGTAGACACGGAATGGCGTAGACACGGAACGACGTAGACATGGAATGGCGTAGGCACGGAATGGCGTAGGCACGGAATGGCGTAGAGGCGGAATGGCGTAGAGGCGGAATGCCGTAGAGACGGAATGCCGTAGAGACGGGAGGCCATAGGGGCGGGAAGGTGAATGTGCGGGGAGTCGCTGTTACGCGGGCGCAGGTGCGGGTCGGCGGCGCGGCTCGATGCCCAGCCAGAAGCCACCGTCGACGGTGATGTTGAAGGTGTTGGTCGACAGGTGGAGGTCGATGGGCGTGCGCTCCACCACCCGCAGCTCGAAGTGCGCCAGCAGGTACATCACCGCCACCTTCACCTCCATTATGGCGAAGCGTAGACCTGCGCACACCACCGCACCGCCCGCTCAAGCTGCGAATACTCACTTCCTCACACCACAACAGGAATGATTCGTCATCGTCACAATGTTAGTATAAGGCAAAACAAGCAAGTATCTCATACGTAATGCTACAATAGGCCACTCATGAATTTTTAGGAAGATAAAAGTTACTATTACTTTCGATTTTAATTTAAAACTGCGTTTGCAGATCGACAAATCTAAATTCACATTTATGTGAATGTAACTAATTCGCTTTAAAATAATTGTAATTAAATAAACTTTATAAACAATGCAAAAAACAAGGTTTTAAAAACTTTTGCATTTAATTGCGTTGATGAGTACAATACTGTCAACACCAAAAACAAACATATTTGTTTTCGAATATTTTTGCATTAAAAATAAGAAACACAAGGGAAAATATAGTGAGTGCGTATTTCGTATCTTTTACAATTTTTCTACAAATCACAAGGAATTTGGTTTATTCCAGACTCGTAATACAAAATGTCGTAGAAGCTTGTGTTGCCAATATATTGACAAAGTATGGGAGCTGATGATAGAAATGTATGGCGAAAGATTAGAAAAATTAAAACGTGACAATTGAAAATATTTTTTTAAATGTCCACACATTTACCACTCGTTGGTTAATGCAATGTAGAGTAGAGCGAGAGTGTTTGGCATCGGTTAGTAGTTTTAATTTTTTTACACAACACTGTTTGAGTTTTATGATGTTTGATTGAATATAAAGAAACTACATTTATTGGGCTACCTAATATTTTTGATTTCTTGGATATTTCAGTCGAATATTAGGTTCGATAAATGACATCAAGTCATTACGAGACAACCAGCCCTTAGCAAGAATGTTTATTAAAGATGACCGTGGACGTGACAAAGGAATACAAACTAAACAAATTATTAGTAAAACCAAAAGACTGGTTGAAACTTTCAGCTGGAAAAAAGAGATAAGCAAATTATTTCTTTCCCAATATTTCAGTAGACAATCAATGGATTATAAAAACATTACTCTTCAAGCTTGAAAACGCGTTTAAATTATATTGTCATTTTGTAAATTTGTCGAATAATAGAAATGTTTAATGGAAAAGGGACCAAGAGGAGCCCAGAATGTGGTTAGTTCCCTCTTGTTGTATGCAACGCCCTGCGGTATTGCACGACGTCCTTCCTTTCCAAGAGAAACGCGCGCGCTTGTAATGCTGCTGCCCATGGACGTAAAGAGAAAATGAAGGAACAAAGGCATTTAAAATGAAATGTACAGTTAAACGTAACGCCAACGCCAAAGGTTCATATTTGTGTAAGGAACCATTCACATCAAATAATGTAAACATAATTGTACCACATAAACGTTAAACTGGAAGGTTTCGTAATCATGCTAACGTGATTCGGGAATAACACACACACACGTTTAACGTTTTGATTTCACACGAGTTAATATTATATTGTAATGTAATTTACGGCGCATTTTCATTTAAGAGAGAAGATAAAATCGCTCCATTGTATCAACAGTGGCGTCCAAGGTACATCATAAATATTTGAACACTATCGCGATAATTTTACTTTTTCTCCTTCGATTGCGTATAATATTTCAGGGAAAATTATTTATTTTTGGTCTGATGG